GCAGGATAATTTGTTTAATCCCCCCCCAGGTTTCGGCCCTGCTGGGGAAATGCACATCACGATGCACTTGAGGGCCCTCGATCCCAGGGAAAGATACTTGGTTTACTATAATGAAAGTCAAAGAAAAGCAGCAGGAACCTAAAGCTATCAAATGTTTCAAACTTTTATTTGAAAAATGACTAATCTCAGAATAGATCGCACCAGTGCGACTTACTGTTACATGTAGTGGACTTTGACAATAAATCCTTAACGGTATATAAAATGGCATAAGGCATGTGACAGTGCTCATGGCCTGTCCTTCCACTTTTTATTGTCATGTAGGAGCAGTTCACAGCAATGAGGGACCTGTATATGAAGAACGGCCAAGGCTTTGCCTTGGTATACTCCATCACAGCACAGTCCACCTTCAACGACCTCCAGGACCTGAGAGAACAGATTCTACGAGTAAAGGACACAGAGGATGTAAGTATGCATTATGGACACGTCATCTTACAAGCATGTTTATAACAACTCTTGCCCTTTGTCAAAGAAATGTTCTCATTTTATTAACTAGAATAAGATAGGTTGCAGACAGCAGATATAGCCTGGTGGATCTTGGTACCCTACTTTCATGTTCTCAGCCACTTACATTACTCAGATAGCTGATCACATATTGCTATGGACACCATTCAGTACTGTAAACACTGCATCTTATGCCAGTAATTATAAATTTGCATTACCTCCACATAATGTAGATGGTGTCACTGTGTTATTTCTTGTGCAAACAATGAGAAAGCACTTGGTAAAACTTATCTGCCGTTTGCAGCCTAGTATTACCTTAATATTATTGTTACTTGAGTCCCTGTGGTTTGATTACTTCATCTGTGTTTAACCACTGGTCTCCACTTAGCTTGGAGTCCAGTAAAAAGCAGGGAAATGTCTGTCTCGCTAAGGATAGTTAAACCTTTAGGTTGTGCTTTTTTTGTAGCTACAGTGTGGTTTTCCCCTTCTAAGCTTGGGTCTATTTCAGCGAAAATAAAAAGAGGATGTGCTGTGTAATTATTTTCCTGGTTTACTGTTTGTCAGCAGCAGATTTCCATTTTTTCGTATCTTTGGTAAATTGCGAGGCTGTTGGGCTGAGAAAACCCTCCAGCCCCTTTCTGATGGGGCAGAATCTAAGATGCCCTTTTTTGGTGATCTCTGCAGGGAATGAATATGACCACAACCCTCTCTCTCTCTCTCTCCTCATCTGTCTTGGTCTCTGTTCTGTGTCAGTGAATGAAGCTTCTCTGCAGCCTGTTGCAGAGGTTTTACACCACTTTTAGTCTCTTTCTATTTGTCCTCTGCTTGTTTCCCTTCTATGTCTGGGCCAGTAAACTCTTCTGCTTTTGTTTTGACTGGTCTTTTCAGCGCCCTTTGCCGGTCAGCCCTACCCCTGTCTTTATGGTCTGCCTTGTGGTCTTATTATGGTCTGGCACTGTGCTGGTGATTGGGCTGTCAGGGCTGATGTGTATGAAAAACCTCAGCTCATCAAAAGCACACTGGATTGTGAGGCTGTGGTACTTCATTAGAGCCTCTGTGGTCAGGGAGCGGAGGTTAGCCTCAGGATAACAAGGATTGCAGAATCAATGGCTCTATAACATGCAAGAAAACTCTTGATGTCCCTTTTCTTCTCCTAACCTATTTGCTTATTACCTCCACTGTATCTGCTATTAGTCCAGTGGTGATTTAAGCCATTACCTATGGTGGCAGTGACATCTGTTTATCTTTCATTTCCCCTTGCAAGAATGCACGACCAAAGGAAATGCTTAGCATGTTTTGTTTTTTTCATCCAAGAGGACAGATTTCTTGGTTGGAAAAAGCTTTCAAGCTATTGCAGGGCTAAAACGGACTGCTGCTGCTGCTGCAGCTGTTCTCATTCTGAGCTCTGCCATGCGCCATTTACCGAAAAGCTGGCACAATGTACAGACACAAGTAATATTACCAAGCTCCATTAAAAGCCTTTTAATGGCCGTACGCTGAACACAGTAGGAGCAAATTTCATCTTAAGAAATTTGTTGGGAGTGAAAAGTAAAGTAAGCGAACTGTTACCAGTGTATTAAAAGTCCACTTCCCTTACTTCCACAGATCTTATGCAAGAGACGTCTTATGGTTTTTCTAGGCCATGTCTGTTTTTGCTTATGTGACTAGGATGGTACTAATGTCTACCTCCATGCTTGTGACTCATTGCTGCATTTGAAATGACTGACTCCATTCATTTAAGCTACTCTAAACTCCCCTGTTCTGTGTTCCCTGAAATCCAATCTCTAGCGTGCCATTGTGGGCGGGATAGGACCTGTCTGTACCCTGGTAACGGCATCTGAACAGATTCTCTGTGGGCTGTGCAGATTCTTCAAGTAGCCTAATGTTGCCTTGTGTGCTGCTGACACCTGAACATTTTTCTTCCCTGCATACCTCCATCCTTCCAGCCCTCTCTCCATCCTTTTCATCCTAGCTTGGCTCAGAGTTTGTGTTCGGAGGGCATACCACTGGTTCTCCCAGGACCCCTGGGAGAAATGTTGTTCAGCAGTCCTCTGCAAGGGCTTGTTTGGATATCAAACATCAAGCAGCAACCTCCTCTGGGTTAATCTAAACATTACAGTTTCCGGTCGTCTGCCCCACAGCCCAGACAGGGTGGGAGAGAAAAGAAAAAGGGACTATGGAAAACTCATCTCGTACCTTCAAAAAGTATACGTTTTCTGGAGGAACATTATCATACCACTGTAAATTTGACCTCTGAACAGTAGATTTGTAGGTGGCAAAAGGGCTGAAGCATGAGCAAGTTAGCATATGTCAGGTACTACCTTATTGCTTACAAATCTAGTTTTGCCAGATCACGAGACATGTCTGGTGACAGATTCTGGACCAGAAGAAAGGAGTGAAGGCAGGATTTCCCATGCATAAATTTATTTGTTGGAGGTTGATCACAACTAGATTTCCCCAGCTGTTATATTATTGCCGTCTGTTATGCAGCATGCATGGTTTTCCACTAGCTGATATTTATGTACTCAGCTGCATCAGAAATACAAATATTTTAACATTTGGAAAACTAATATGAAGATCTCAAATTTGAAGCGTGTCTGTGATCATTTGTTTTCACAGTGGTTGTTATATTAGGCCAAGTTTAAATGTGAAAATGCACTGCCTATGAAATGACCCCCGGTATGCCTACACACACAGACCTGAACAATCATGTAATTCCAGGGAGAAGCCAGAGCAGGGAATCCAGCTGAAATGTTCAAAAACATTCCGGAAGGAAAGTAATGCTATCCCAGCTGGGCGGGGCTGCCATGACTTCCTCTGGGCCAACATGCTCCATAGATAGTCGGTCAGGAAACAGCAGGCAGGATGAGACGCATCCCGACACCCTGACTGCCCCGGCTCTGCCTATTGTGACAGTCAGAGTTACAAACTTTGCCCAGAATATTCTCTTACGCAGAAGGTTTTTGTTTTTAGGACCTTGGCTTTAAAATGTCTGACATGTGAGGGCACAAAAGAAAAAATGCTGGGTCTTTGGGAGATTCCAGAACCAGCTGCACTTCATGCCAGTGTTGGTTAGAATGGATTTCTGTATTAAAGAAACACAACAAAAAGCAACTGCTTTCTTTCCTCGTTCCTATTGATTCCCGACTATCTTTTTCACTGTTGGGTAACCTAAATAATATTATTTGCCTTCCCAGAGGGATGGATTGATTTTCCTCATTATCTCTGTGACACTTTCAAATGCTACTTTGTTATAACCCCCCATTTTAGTTACATGTATGAAGTTAAGTTTGTTTTTCACTGAATCACAAATTTGCCTCCAAAGGATTCATGCTTGCTTTTGTCTGTCCATAGGTGCCAATGATCCTGGTGGGGAACAAGTGTGACTTGGAGGATGAGCGTGTGGTGGGGAAGGAGCAGGGCCAGAACCTGGCCAGACAGTGGAACCACTGTGCCTTTTTAGAGTCTTCTGCTAAGTCAAAGATCAACGTCCTCGATGTGAGTACACACAGAAACTGGCCACTGGTGAACATACTGTAAACGGCCATTCCTTAGATGCCATATACATTGTTAGGGTTGTATTAAGGAGGTGGATGAGTTTACAGGTGCAACATTTAATTTTGTTTTCTTTTTATCTGTTACTGTCTTGTAGATCTTCTATGACCTGGTCAGACAAATAAATAGAAAAACGCCAGTGGAAAAGAAGAAGGCGAAAAAGAAATCCAACTGTATCCTGCTTTAAAGACCCCCACCCCCAGCCCCTGCAGCAGCTCTGAGCCAGGTGTGTGAGTGTGACTGAAATTTCAAAACACATTACATTAGTCGTTAATATTGATACGGCTGACATATTCATGAGGACGATGCACAGACAGGCTGTTAGATTAATTAGTACTGCATAATAGCTTTGATTTTTATGTGCCATCTACCGGTACATAGTTGTTTATATTACAGATTTGCCTGTGGCTAAGTTAAGTCAAATGTATTTGTTTACTGAGCATCACCGGATTGTTGAAAGTTCTAAAGTGCCTTGAATATTCTTTTTTAAAATTTGAGTCCATAAAATGTCTTAAAGAATTTTTATTATGGAATATCTTACATTTTAAGACAATGCCGAGACTCATTTTAATGTAAAGTATTTTATTATAAAGTTAGTTCTTCATCCCTAATTATACAGATACCCACTGTACAGCTCAGTAAAACAATATTATTGAGGTCTTGCTGCCCCTTAAGTTCCTTAAGAAGAATCTGAGCACATAAAAGAAATTTGTAGAAACCATCAGAGTTCCAATTCATAGAGAAAACCCACACTTCCAGGCAGATCGGGGTTTAACACATGTTGTAAACTGGGGAAATGGGGAATACAGAGCTGGATATGTATGTTAAAAAGTTTTGCTGTAATGTCCTTTCAAGTGCAGCTGACTGCAGTGTAATTCTGTAGTTACAGTCTGAATTGGAGCTATTCTATATGATGACAAATCAGTTAAGCATCTTGTTCATAGCTTGTATATGTGGGACGTCTTTACTTTTTGTAAGTGACAGCCATTGTCGTCTTGCGATAATGAATAGCATTTCTCTGATGCTGACGAGTTACAGATCCAGTAAATGTCCTTGGGCAGGTCACCACCCCTGATTCAGCTTTCAGAACCGCTTTTAGTTTTATTTTATTTTTATCTTCGTTGCT